CGGTAGAAGGGATGAAGGGAGAGGGTTGGGAATGGAAGACAAAGAGTTAAAGGTTGGGATATTGCAAATTGCAAATTGACCGCATCCAACACCAATCTGTTTAATCGAATTTTTTTCATTGTCGATCGGAAGTGTTTCGGTATCCATGACGATGTAAACGAAATACTATATGGCGTGTTTTTACAACTCAAATCTCATGATATCTCTTCCCTTTTGACGCATCTAAAAAAACTTTAAATACTTTCTGCAAATTAATTAGTTACCAAGGCAGTCTTCAGACTGTAAGTGGTCTACGCCCTGAAGACATCACTGCGGTTGTAATCTAAAGTGTATCTTTAGAGTTCCCAGCAAAAGGAATAGGCAAAGACAAATTTAATCAATCTAAACCTCGGGGACCAATTAAAACTTTCTGTTCTAAATACACGTTTAGTTAATGTATTTGCTGAACCGATCCATTGTTTGTTGCTCTCCGTACATTATATTGTATCTCCTTTCCCCACAGTCCCGGTGTGGTTGTGACACCGCTTCAGCGTACAGGTGGGATGACTGAAGAGGAGTACGCACAATTCCTCGAACACTCCAAGGAAAGTCATGCACTTGGTCGTCCAGGCAGTGTGGACGAAGTGGCACGCGCTATTGCCTTTTTGGCGAGTTCAGCTGCCTCCTTCACAACCGGTGATTTGTTAACCGTTGATGGTGGTCGTGCAGTTATGTGCCCCCGTTAGAACTCGCTTGAAATCTGCTTGGGCATGGTGCCAAAATTACTTCCTTGAAACATGGATGCGCCTTCTTCATTTGCAATTTTTTTTATCAATTTTATCATAACCTACTATTCACTTTTAGAAAATAGTGAATACTGTACCGATTTCACCGGTGGCTTAATCCAATATAAGCTTTCCTTCCGATATCAGTTTTTGTCAATGGAGTCAAAATGTTTTTCTTTTCTTCCACAGGTTCTGTTCTTGTTTTCTTGCGACATATTGAATATTTTGCCTGAAGAATGCCACAGAGTACGTTTAGGCGTGACTTCGAAAATAAGCTTCAGTTCAGTGATTTCAGTACAATACATATAACCCAATAACAGAAATTGGACATGTACACACCTTACGCGTGAAAAACTGAATGTCTTGGTTTGCTCATATGGTGGACTTTGTGGTGTACAGAGTAACCGAAGCTTGGAACGGAAAACCGGGAAGTACTGAATAGCTGCTTCGACCTGACTTGGTATTATTAGCAGTGCTAATCTACCCACTCTATTGGAGATCGAACCGGTGACCTCATAGATAGAACGCAAGCATACTGCCCACACGACCTCGGGTCAGCTAGTAAGACCGTGCACGATCTAGCACAATCCATCTTTGCGAGCTTAATGCAGGCATCGCACCTTGCGCATCTCAGTACTCGTTTGTTGTTATATCATGATTGGATATCATCAACTGTGAGGGTCTTTTACAACGAAGTGACACGTTAAAGAGTTAGATAACAAAGCTATCCATTGAGTTTGGTTTTTGTCCATGGATTTCAACGACGAAAAGGTTAAATTTCGAATTGGTATGCACACCTGACTAAAATTATTTGACATCGTGGTCAATCGGATAAGACTGAAAGAATTGCAATCCAGACAGCCATGTTTTTTACCTTTAAGGACTTTGAGAATTCAAAACACAATTCTAATGGTCGGACTGGTTATTGTACACAGTTCACGACCGTGCGATGCAGCACCAGAATAAACAAACGATTGCATTTTAGCTATCAATACAATTTTGACCAAATGTGATTTAATTTGATGTGATCAACCTCAATATTCACAAAATATTTTTTCCTTACGGTAAAATTTTCACAATTTCAACCCAGTTTGGTTGATGGATTCGCAACGCCGATGAGATGCAACCAGGTTGAAACAGTTGTCCCGTGCTTCCTAGCTTTTCAATTCACGTCTCATTTGCTTTGTACCCGACGAAGTTCACCATGTCATTTGCATATCTGTCTTCAATTGGATCACTGAATTGAAATAAACGTCTGATGAGATTGGTAGAAAAAATATGTTGGTAGATTTAGTTCCAAATAATTCCCTGCTCCATGTGTCGTGTTCGTCATGATTTCTTTGGGTTCTTTAGGAGTTGTTCTATGGAAGACGATTCGATCATAGGAGTTTTCCCGTACTCAGTTTACGGGTCAGTTTTCGCTACCTCCGACATTGGCGAGAGAACCATTACTCCGCTCGGCCAAATCAAATCGCATTTACCAATTCCAGTGTGGATGTTCGACCATCTCTATGGGCAGAACAGAGAGGTATTCATGTCCCTAAATGGTCGAACATATTCCGTTGTGTCCTAAGAAAGCGATGGATGCGTCATCGAATTGGCAGAAAGAACTCAGATATTTGATTATACAACACCTATCGGAAAAAACTTTGTTTCACTCCAGTGCAAGCATTTTTGATCATGGAAAATAACATACACAGAGTTATTGAAGTTGGCCAAGTTGTAGCCATTCATACCCATAAACCCCGATCTATGCAAACAATGTGAATGGCTGGTCACATTTATTTTGCCTTTCGTTTTTCTTGTTGTCCATTCTGATTGGTGATCGCTTCGTTTCATGGTTAGTATCGCACTGACTGTAAAAATCATCTTGAATGCAGTATGCACGTGTTCAGTGAAATAACCATGGACACCTTACACAAACCCATGTATTCAAACAATAACCGCTATAACAGATAAATCTGTCCATGATTTTATCGTGGGCGTATCACACTGCCGGATTGCCTGGTTCATAGAAGGTGATGCTTATCGGAATTGATTGATTCGTGTCACGGCGATCAGTTGATTATTGTTGTTGCAATTGGACTCACGGTGCCTGATGGAATCTTTTGCGTGCCATGTCAGTTCCCATCCCACGACCGATTCTCGTTTATTTTTTTGCGACGCGTAATTGGTCCATGGACATATCGAAATAATGATCTTTTTCGTCAGTCGGCATTCTGTTTTATACGACGATTAAAAATGAAAATCCCTCTTTGTGCAGGAGGATGATTACCGGTTTTTGATGGTTGGCTGTATCCCTGGTTGCATTCATATGGTCACACTGGATTTTTATTGTGTCCTCAAACGTTCCCGGGTAGGGGGAGGGGATTAACGAGCATCCATTTCTGCTGTTGATCTATGTTTGTGTGCATGACTCGCGGCGGAATAGGGTTCGTGTGAGTTCCTTTACTTTCGGCTACAGTCACATTCTCCCCCTGTGGCTTACACCGTTTGAGCTTTACTAAGGCTTTATCCTCGCGGTCCCTCGTCTGATCTGCCCCAT